ATTTTATAGATCCAAGAAAGATCAAATCCATTGGGTGTGAAGTTTACATGGAAAGATTTTATACCGGCTGTCATATAGTCGGACCAAATCACCTTTCTTGATTTTTATCTCATCAGGTAGTTTCTCATTGTTAGTCGCCTTTTGGCGTGCCTGAATTTCCCGAGATTGATCCAACGCGTCTATCCGGCTTTATTCCAAGGTGTTGATGTCAGCCAACCGGTCATGCAACTGCTCAGTCCGCTCTCCTTGTTTTGCCGATAAGATCTGTAGGCTCTCTACTTCTATTTCTATGGCGTGTAGCATTTCTTGCCCAAAAAACTAAAAAGTATGAAGTACTTCCGGTCGTACTCTTGTGAGTTGTATGGTAGGCATACACTGTGAAAGTGAGCTTTCAGATTGTAAAATGTGGTTTACCCATGTTTAACGTTCTATTGCTTTCTTAATCTAGACACTACCTCATTCAAGAAATGAGTTCCCTTATCAACTTCAGCGAATATCCAAATCTCATCCTAATTCATTCAAATATGAATCGGACGACATATTGACATCATTTTTTGGGTGGCGTCCGCTTCCATCCACTTTGCAGCATAATCCATAGCCAATATAATGTATTGGTGTCTCTAGCTCCCTAATGGCTGAATCGGTCCAATGAAATCAACTCCCCGTTTCTCGAAAGGGGCTAACAAGACAACCGGCGTCAACGGTCAATGATTCAAGATTTTTGGTTTGCTGGCACGGATCACAGCTACGGATAAATTGATGAACATCTCAATTCGAATAATGCCACTAGTAGTCCGTTGTCCGAACACGCCAAACTTAAATGACGGAGACATAATGCTCTCCAACAGATCCATCGTGGAGGTTTCGGATAATCTTCCAACAATACTAGGGTTTGAGACAATGTCTTATCTTGTCCTCAGCTCCTAATTTAAACAAGATTATTCCCATCAAGGAATACAGAGACACACGATGTTGGAATACGCATTTCTTTTCTTGGTTTAAGCTTTCCAAATGTTGATGGATACAAAGATATTCTTCATATGCTGAAGGTTTTAACCCTCCTCCTACTCGCTCTGTTAGAACACACATACTTCCGGCCCTTCTCTTGGTAACTTTCAAGGATCCACAATGTTTTGAAAACCGATGTCTGGAAATTTTGCCAAAAACTCATGCATGTTTTCCTGCCCCCTTTGACAAAATGATTAGTCGGCGTTAAGGTTGGATATTTTGGATCTGATAACTACTTCGTATTTGAACCCTTGCAATAGTAAAATCCAACGTGCTAGACTGCTGGATAGTACCGGTGTGTTGTATAAGTATTTCAAAAAGTTTAATACCTTATTTGAGAAGATTACCTTATATCACAACAGGTAGTGCCAAAACTTCTTGCAGGCATAAATGACGGTCAATGCTTTCCATTTCATAGTTGTGTAATTCTGTTTGGCTGGATTCATCTGCCGGCTAGCATAATGTATTAGTTCTTTCCTTGGCATAATGTATCCGTCTGCCATAGGATTGTTCCTAGCCATCATCCGAAAGCGTCCAAAGTGACATGAACGTGCTTTGTCTAGTATAGTCGAGCAAACCATCTCTTTGATTCGTTAAATGCATGCTGCCGAACGTCCATTGACTTGTATCTTTCATCAGTAGGTCTATCAAAGGAATAGCCAATCAAACGTAATTCTTGATGAATTTTTTATAGTATTTCACGCAACCCATAAATTCTCTCCGCTCTCGGAGGTTCTTTGGGTTTAGTACTAGCTTTATGATAATTTTGTCAAAGTCTATTGCAATCCCCTTCTTGCATAAGATGTGACATAGTAAGTTTATACCAAAGCAATGAAATGGATTCTAAGATATTTTGTAGATTACTGTGAATTATGGCTTATTGTTTGATGTTACGTTAGACAATGTCAAATCCTTGTTGGGCTATGTTGATGCCAACATAGCTCAACAGTATTTGGACAAGAATAGATGTATAATAAGATATATAATTGTATTTGGACAGGAATAGATGTATAATAAGATACATGATAAAAATATTAATTAGAGATCTATCTTTGCAAAAATACGTAATTTAGTTTACAATAGAAGTTGAATATATGACAGTATCAAAAGCGACAAAGAAAGCTATTTGATTAAACATGTTTATCATGGATATGAAACTATGAATGTACGTGGAATTGATGGAGTCAACATTTTGTTTGACATTTTTTGCGTCCATTTGTCACGAGACATGCTTTTTTGTCATTTATCTAATCATTTGATTGGTTTTTCATTTTTCAGGTTTTTTTAAAATTAAAAATTGTAAAATTTTTCTATCCTCTTGAAAAAAATGACAATTTCCCAATATATATCTAAATTTTGTTTATGTAGAATTGGAAATACTTACATTTGTAAATAATAAAAGTTAGAAAAAATATACAACCATACTTGTCTAACGTATAATATTTCGCGAAGACAGATTTTTTTTCAAAAATATTTTATAGTTATCTTATACTTTCATATTATACAATAAGAGAATGTTAACTAAATTTTTAAAAAACCTGTCTTTTATTTAAAACAAAAAAAATTCCATAAACTACGCATCTCAACAGTTTGCATACTAGTTCCCAACTATAACACATAGGAGAAAAGCCTTACAAGGATGAAACTGGGCAACTCCAATAATATCCCAAAACTTTCGAAGCTCCCAAGCAAAGTAAAATCAAACTCTTGTATTTAGACCTGAAGTACCAGAATAAAGTGCCCACTTGCAATTTTTGTTTGAAAAGCAGTGTCGTGACTGTAAACGTAATGCACTAGGTTTCACTATATTATTGGAGACCAATTTGGCTTTATTGGATAAGAAAAATGAAATAGGACGATGGTTTCAAAAAACGATTTCCTCCACCGCGGGGCAGTGCGAAGGTTAAACGCGTTTATAAGCAGAAAAAGAAAAAACAGTAGCACATCATGCGAAAAGACGAGGGAGGAAAATTGGTAAAGGAGTTGGAAAAGCTAACATATTTGCAGACAAGACAACAGCCTTTGGATAAATATGACATAAGCGATGTACCTTGTCAAACAATAGTCCTCCGATAGCATAGGGGTGAAAAACAATTTGTTCGAGAGTCGCAGGAGAGTGGGATGTGACATTTGTTCCTTTGTGAAGTCTGCAACGTGAAGCCACTGGGAACTAACTATCTGCCGAGCAGAATTGCATTCTTCAATCACTTGACAATTCATGCTGAACGTCATCCTAAAAACTCTACGCTCCACACACTTATTCACCCTTTCTCTGATTCGGGATAAACAATCTAAATGACAACACTAAGACCTGAAAAAGAATATGATGACGAGTAGGGGATCTGAAAGTAAAGTCCTCAGGTCACTAGCGAAGAATCATGTCCGTCCACAAGAATCAAATTTTGATGTTGGTTGCAAAAGCAAATGAAGATAAATGCTTTACAAAATAAACATATTGCACCTCGATAGAATCAGAGGACCGTATACTCTCTCATAAAACCCTAAAGGATCTTGATATCCACGGCATACACTCAGAACTGAAACTATTGGTGTGTTGAGTAGCAGCCAAAAACACAATTCATATTTTCAAAGACACTCTTACCAACTTTTTGACTAACAGGTCAGCGAAAATACTTCCTTTTTTATGGGCGTGGCCTGGTGTAAACCTATGAGCTCTTGGTGATCTTACATGTTAGGTGATTTGAAACTTCCTCTACAACTGACCCCGACCTCCTCAACGTGGTCTATCAACTAAATACATAAGATTAAATTGTGCGATTTTCGGAGGCGCGCCAGAGACTGGAGGGATCCAATCAGCGGTGGAAGATAGAGTTTGCGAAAAATCAACCATTCTTGTTCATGATTAACTCGAATGAACGGCTGAGTACATTGCAGCAATGTCAGATGTATGTCCGCAATATGAAATCGGAGATGCATGGAATAAATCGCTCAATGAAACTTCATCAACTAAACTGGAAAACAAAAGCCAAGGGAGGCTAAAAAAACCAACCTCGGCATCGAAAGAAAAAGAGAACTAATAACTCTAGCAACGAAGCACAGCATCTCCCGCTGCTAATATCTAATTTCCCCTACATGCAGATCACATATACATGAAATCTCAGACAAACATCACTACTCAAAGTTATCTGCCTCTCAAAGGGAGATGCTAAAGCAAGCATTGATGCAATGCAAACGCGCTATCTAACATGGATGCAACAAAACAACAATAAACGTGCACCAATAAATCTGTGATTTGCCAACACAATAACAAAACAATCCGGGCATCTACAAAGTCAATCAAAATGTAATGTCACAGTAAAGTAAAACTGTCGTCCTTCGAATTTCTACAACTAATTCCACGTTGACAATCAGACAAAAACGTTAAATTGTGTGATGTCATGAGACTAAAACTAGCAATAGTGACATGTATCGTACAACTGATCTGTATACAGGGGTTTGACCTCATCGCACAATCATCAGCAACCAAAGACTTTTACCTCGCCATCCATCGTAAATTGTCAAAGAATCCCCAAACAATCCAGATAGCACAGTTCAATTTGTTAAATTGAATTCAGAAGTAGAAGAGAGGTGATGTGGAATGGACTGAACCAAGATGATCATCAAAATCTGATTCGTACAAAGACACGCGTTTCGATAGACAACTTGGCAGTAAGCTTGGCAGTGGCCTATCTTCAGCAACGTGTGTTTGCTGAGACAAGACTTCGAACTAGTCCGTATAGAGCTGGTAATGCTAAGGGTCGGCGACAGGTGACCCAGTGGGGCATAACCTAGCAACTGCTTTAATAAAGCTCTTTGCGTGCAGCGCAGTGCAAGTTTGGTAGGGAAATACAGCAGTTTGACCTAGTGTATTTTGTTGATTCTGAACATTATCGAGGGTGAAATCAATTCTCAAAGCATGCATTTTGCCCATATTCGGAATATATATAATCAACTCTAACATTCTAGTTGATTGACGGAAGCAAGGCGTCGTTGAATTCAAGTGAGATTGATACTTTTGATTTCAAGTACCCAATGTATCCTCCACAGCTATCATCACCGCATACATCTGCTTAAACAGTATACTGATACTCACAGGAATTCACAATCTTCTGAATCGAGACTTACAAGCACTTCTTGACTAACTGCTTGAAAGAGATTACTGTTGAGTAGCCAAAAAATTCGCAGTTATCTTTTGAATGAACCAGAGAATACTTTACAGATGCTAACAAATAAAATTATGCTGCCACCATTCAATCTAAAACGATAAAATGCTCTTGCCTTAAATCCAGGCTAAAGAACCACGATCACTAGGAGCCTGGGGCCTGCCACGTGTCGGAGTGGGGGGCCTCTGCACATTTAATTCCTGAAGAACGGAACGGAAACGAACAGTCAGTCCACGCATCCAAGTAAAGTATTCAGACGGTTCGATACGAACCGCCAGAGGTTCAGCAATAGAAACTCAATTACAGAGGACACAATTAATTGTGGGCTGTTGATGCTTTAAACAGCAAGTTAACATAAATTCATTACTACCACGTTAAGTATACTGTTCATAAGAATGTGCTATGAGATCAGCTCGAGGCGGCAGGGGAAGTAATCTTCAATGTGATGAAAAGTTCAAGCTGACAATAAACTACAGACCAAGCAGGACCTTCATTCTGTGGACAAACAACCATTCACATCATCATAGTCCTAGGTCTTACCAATATCCAAAGTAAGGTTGCGTTGGTTAGTATCTACTAATTATTACATGTCATCTTTTCTGCAATCTACCCATCTCTCTCGATATTCACCCTATCGAATTCTTCCACTGCAAATTTAAACTCTTTAACAACCACTTTCACGAAATTAAGACGCGCAATACTTGATCAGGGTCACCGTGCGTGGGCAGCAAAGGGAAAGCAATTCCCCGGCAGCAGCTTAAAGATAGATCCCCATTGAATTGACGAGCTCACACAAACCTAAACAAAAGAGAACGATCCAAGCGAAGTCGGGTTTGCGGACAGAAGGAGTAGAGCTCAATGAGGCTCATCTGTAAAATCGGGTGAAGTATGAGTAAAATAGATACATTTACTTAGCAGACTAGATATATGAGATTTACGATAATGATACGTCTTACTACCAGATGACAGGTCCAGTATGAACCAATCTAATGACTCAGACATAAGGACGGAAAAAATATCCCCCATAAAGCGATACGCATCAAAGCAACAGCGCTGGCCACTATTATCATCCGTACCATAGAGAAATTACGTTTTACAATAATCACGACAACAGAGTTTCGAGTTGGGGTGAAGGAGCACTGTGTTGATTAGCACGAGAACAAGAGGCAATAAAGATGAACAATAGATACCGACACAGAATGCAAATATTCGGTACGGGCCTTGGGGGATGTGACGTGGCAGTACTTGTAACAGTACTGTGAGCTGTAGATCCGTCGAATAAATCGAATGCAAAAGTGAAGACAAGGACATTAGCCGTACATAAATAAGCCATGAGGCAAGAAAATCGATTACAAAATTGGCTCATGATTCACGAGCGAATTGACGAGCGGCGTCGAGCAGTTCATTAATTACCTCAAGTGCCGTATCGGAAGAGTAAAACAGAAAGTTACCCAGAGGGTACCGAAGAAGTTAAGTGCTAGTAAAGATCCTATGGACGCTGAATAAAAATGCGAAGACTTGTAATCAACCAAGTGAGCATGCATCACTCCGCTCCTGCTAATTCCAGGACCTCATCAGCATCATTAAGGCCTCTCTTATAAGTAGGCAAGAATGTAGCATTAGGTTTCAACTGAAAGTGGTCACATTGGGTTTCGATCCAGTAGAAGACGACTCGAAATATGTTCGTAGCAATGCACGATGAAATTGGTGAAGAAGATGATTCTCACTGTGTGGCTGGAATAAGGGCAGACCAAACACGGAGACCATAAACGGAATGTGAGCGTATATCAATGCCCTCCCGCTAGCTCCAAGACCTCGTCGGCCTCATTGAGAATCCTTTCAGGAACCGGAGACGCCACACATCAATTCGTTGTGTGTTACTATTTATTAGAAAATAAATAGTAAGACCAAGGCCTCGGGCTGTTTCTAATATTTATAGAGTTCTGACTGAGATTAGAAAGGTACTAGTATATTGAAAGCGTTCAGAAAGCTGCGTAACCACGGTAACTAGAGTGAGCTTAAACCGATAGCAAAAGAATGAGCTCAAAAATACGAAACTGTAAAAAAAATATCCGATCAAGTCCTCGAGCAAAAAAAAAACTGCAACATTCCGTGAATAAAACTAGTAGAAATGAAAGAATCTCACAATGCCCAAAACGATAGGCAGGTAACAGTATGAACTGTGCGGATATATCTTGCAGTACAAGCAACTTGGCAAGGAGGCAGTGGATCTCAAGCATAGAGTAAGCAGTACTAAGGGGATACCGGGCGACGGAATTGCTCGCGTCGTTCCTATCAATGCTGAAAACGAATCCAAAAAATGTTTTCAACTAGTACTCAATACAAACGGCGGGGCTACGACCAAATTAATGAGTGTGAGGTTCCACGTGCACCTCCATGTTTGTAAGCAGGAGGATGGACACGCAAACTAATTGAATGCAGCCTGGAAAACAATCAGAGGCCAATATCTTTACTTCAAAGCACCCGCCACACAGGTGCAGATAACGATCCACGAAAGAGGAGATTCAGCAGAAAAACTCTGGAGCTAGAAGAAGTATGCGCAGGTTCCACAAAGCTAGCCAAGAAGGGATGTGAAAGGTTGGATTCTATGGACGCGGAGAGGTATCAAGAATATTTAGTCGACGAGGAAAGTAAGCGTGCATTAACTCGCTACCGCTATGTCCACGATCTCGTCAACCCCCTTGAAAGATCCATGAAACTTCAACTTTGAATTGAAAGAAAACGCTCCGGGTTTTCAGTTGATAGGAGCCAACTATCCACGTCGAAACTCGTAGGGTAAGAAAAAGGAAGCGCCCAAAACTTCACCGAGTTGGGATAACTACACAGCAAACGCCAAGAGCTGAGTATAGGGAAGAGGATAAATCGCCGAAAACAATCAGTTGGAAAATAGTGCCGGTGACGGCAAGCTGACGAGTAATACAAAAATAACAAGTGCGGAAAAACGTGGGATTTCAGTCCAGTTGATAAAAACCCGATTTCTACGCTGAACCACGCAAGAATTTTTGAAAATAGGATGTGTCTCGTCCGCTGGCTGGGGTGACAGTAACCCCAGAAAGGACAAAGAGAGAAAAGACTAAGATTGACAGTTTCTGTAGACCCCAATGGTGCGAACAACGAGCAGAAAACATTTCAAAGAAAACCAAAGAAGAAGCATACGATTAGTAGTAAGCATAAGAAGCAGGTGACACATACCGAACACGAGACTGACTATGCAAAATTCGAGAATGTGCATAAATGAGAACACAAGCGGGCTTAAAGCTCCCACTTATAATGGTGGGCAATTCACACAGGTCTTTGATTAATCCTGTAATGCTTCTGTACAAAATAAGAGAAACATGGCTGAACGAAAGACCTGTTTGAAAAGGAGAATTCTCCTGATAGGAAGGTCTGCTGAATAGAGCAATAAATTAGTGAAACCCTCTTTGCTAATAGTACATATGACGACCAACTTGTGAAGACGGCCATTACCTAAACCGTACTTCGGATATCAGCCAAGATTTAACATGCTATATTTTCAGTAAAACTATGGATCTATCATCACTGACATGATTTCTCGAACTTTGAAACTTACATCCATCCAGCGTCTGTCTATGGGTTTATATATATCGAGTACAAGTATTCTATATATGATCGGGATTGCTACAACAAAAATTTCAAGGTGTGCTCGTATAGTAAGGCTCCAGTTGTACCTGCTCGTAAGTAGCAACGACTTTACTTCAAATACACAATGCGATCACGTAGGTTGCACGTGCCATTCTCTATGCGAAGCCTGAATTCATATGGTTATGTTTTCTACAACAAAAACTTGAATATATACTTCCAAATTTCAGGTTTGCATAGTAGAAAACATGACCAGATGGAATCCAAATCTAAAGGTGAACACTTGGCAAAGGTGTCATCAACCCAGATGGTACCTTTGGCAATGGGAGTGGATAATAAAACCAATGAGATGCGATATACGAGTTTTAAGGTCCTGTACGTAAAGTTTGGTATACAGAACTGCAAAATCAAAAGTTTTCTGAGAAAGAAAAGGTTAATTGTCAGTGAGGGGGTCTGGTCACACTCCACTCTTAATGTTAATTAGCACCGAAGAACCTGGCAGGAATGAGGTAAAAAGAATTGAGAGTGTTTTACCCTATGAAAAAGTACGTGGCCGAGGTCTGCATGCACAGACTGAGAACTGTGAAGAAGAACATGTGCATAGTTCACACGCTGTATCCATGGGTATGCGTTGGGCTAGAAGAGCATATTCGAAAACATTCCAAGTGACGAGGTGGTCTCGAAAATGCCTAAGAAACGATGGAATAAAGCTCTCCGCAATGGCTGAATAAAAAATTCTCAATAGTTTGAATTTGTTGAAGAGGGTGTATATACAAACCAAAGAGAAGCTTAGTAAGTGGAGATGGGAAAGTAAGACCTAAGTCGTACTTTAGGAAGCGTTAAGAAGAGGAAAATTCTAATACGATGTAATGATTACAAAGCTTGTTGGGATAAAATGTGGAACTGAACTGTTGAAACAGCAGGAGGAAGGCTGATGACTCCCAAGAGCTCATATCGACGGAGTCCTTTGGCACCTCGAAAAAACATAATTTTCTACAATGTATATTATAAATGCATATGGGTTTGGTTTATTTACAGTTGGAAATTCATGAGAGAAATGTGGTATACAAGATAGAAACTGGACATTTACTTCTTCTAGAAAAAGGTCTAAACAAAAATTTGAGCCTCAGTGTTAAACACAGAGGCATGAGTGGGTTAAATCTGTAACTGATATATTTGCAAAAAATGTCCACGTACAATTTGCCTACGCACCAATCGTAGCTGTTTACAACGTGGTAAATGGCGATTGAAAGAGAGACCAACGATATTGCAGGTTAGTAAAAAAAAACGTTTCATATTCGCAAATGACATGTAAGCTACTTGAATAAGGACTGAAAGAAAACATTAGTTGGATGCTAATACACGCAGTTGAGAGCAAATCAATTCCATGCATACAGAAAAGATAGTAAAAGAGCAGCCTCGGCCTTAGCGGGCGACAGGCCGGATGTTACAATGTACGTCAAAAGTGACAGTGTATTAATCCTCTCACGCTCTTTTTTGAAGGATCCAGGTCATCTTAACTTGCAATTCAAGATCTTCGCGCTGGGTTTCGATACAGTTGATGAAGACCCACTTTCTGACAATGAAATAAAATGATTGAACTGAAGGTATTGAAACCTTCCTCCCTTTGAAATAAAGCTTGAGGCATCCACACCTAAGCAAGAATGTAGCCAAAGAAGACTAGAGTATTTGTCGTGCAAGAGTGAAACACATGCAGGTATGTTGCTGCTACAAGGGGATGAACAAAAAAAATCAAGCCACACACAACCGACAGGTGATACCAAGCGCCCAGCAGATGACATACGGCATCAAGCAGGTGAGATAACATATGAGCAGGTGCAACAGATATATGGATCACAAACAAACCAACTGGACTACAAGATACTCCCCACTTGAGAAAATTCTTCCATATGCACGATGAACATACAACCTACTTGAAAGCCACCTGAAGAATCAAAAAGCTCAACGCTGGTGTACGCAGTTAAGACCAAAGACCAAACGTGTGCAGATGACGAAGGCTGAAACCTAAAACCTAAAACTTAGCATAAGACAGCTTTGCAACTGGAAGGACCACCACCACAAGCACTGCAAAGGTGCCGAGGAAGGCATAGGCAAGCTTCGATTCTGGGTATACGGAATAGAAATCTACAGGCTAAAATCAACATAGAAGTTGAGCGAGTATCGATCGGCTCCTGCTACCTCCAATATCTTGTCAACCCCCGAGAGGAACCCATGACATCTCATGTTTCAACTGGAGATCACTGCGCTGGGTTTTGATCTAGTTGATGGAACCCAACATCCCGCGTCCAAATGCTCGAGGGTAAAAACGGAGGCATGGAAGCCGTCTATGTAATCAAAAGGAAGTTGCTCAATCTGTATGTAGGTCTTCATTCAAAGTAGAAGAGTTAAGGCAAAGAGCAAGAGCGGAACAGGCAAGCAAGACAAGAGAAGGAAACTCTGTTATAGTGACCGCAAGCAATTCAAGTGGGGCTACACGTAGCTCCCCCAGCTTTACCGAGGTGGCTTAGGTACACCTTTGTAGGGTGTTCTATATGGTCCGATGCGTGACAGAACCTTGGTGGCCAGAAAAACAAACATTTCGTATTCGTCAAATGACTTTCGTTCATGCTAAGCCTCGTCCCCGTAGAGTGACAGATATCTACTACTTGTCTTTCGCAAGCTATTTGAGTAGTACAGGTACTTACTAGACTATGTAGATCATGTATGCGGCTTGTCATGATGCCATACTTACTCTGCGTTAAGAAATTGATCAGCAGTTTTGTGACCAGAGCGTGTTAGGATATCGTATCTGACACAACATTCATTTCTTTCTCATATTACCCAAATAAGAATATACAGCAGTAGTACGGAATCCCAAAACCATCCAGTACGGTGGGCTGGAAGACTTCAGCAGATTTTGATGATATCTTATCTTCCGCCTTTCTTCGGCAATTACTCCAACGAGTCGGAGTAACATCCGAAAACAGAGTGGCTTGTCTCCAGGGTTCGTAAGGATATTCCCAACAGGAAGAAAACATTCAAGCTGTATGCAACATCACCGATATCTAACAACTCTAGATGCTGTTATGGACTCAGATAATTCAAACCAAGACCAGCTCAACAGGGGTTCACAGCTCCTTTCGAGGTCAATAAATTTCTCTTGAGCCTAGTTAATGGCTAATGGAAGTAAAGCCCATGAAAACTATCCTGGCAAATGCAATTACAATGCACTCAGCCTCTGAATCGGGAAGAACAAGCCACATATCGGATCTCCTCTTAGTCAAGCTCGACCTCGAATCCCTCGTCTTCGGACCTATCTAGAAAGACTTTCCAATCTAAGTTCCGAATGGCAGTCATCCACCTTCATCGCTAGAACGGCGCGATGAGGAACATATCCGGAACACACTACAGTGTGGCAAGGAACACCAAATAACGGTTCATTCGTTAACAAAACGTGCCTCTTTCCCTAACTTGAGAGCCAAACTGTTAATAATTGTGCTCTTCTGCCAGAGTCCAAGATGTCCACTAGCCCCCTTTTGTGCGCGGTAGCTTAGAAGACAAGTGATCTCATCCTTAAAATTAAAAGGCACATGGAAGATCCAATGACGAAATCGGGTACGTTTGCAGTATGTACATGAAAATGAAATCCTGAAAGGACTAGTAACAGTAGGGTCGTGGATTCGCTTGCAGGAAGAGTGGAAATCTGACCACCAATAGCCGGACCAGCCAACTCCTCCGGAGGACCAAATGCTACTGGAATGATGATCACCTACAACTCTATCGTTCAGTAGCTCCGTAGGAGGCAAACAACATCTGCCAGTGTTTACCTTTACGATGGGGAAGCGAAAATCGGTTGTTATCATCGACTTCGCAACACAACCATCGTTGCTAAGAGCGCAAAGTGTATTTCAATTGAACAGTGAAGCGGACGTAGTAGCAGCAAACAAGAGGTTTTTGAGATTGGGGAGGACAAATTCACAAATTCCGATCCAAAACGTTCTTGAAGCATAGCTACGTAATGAAAAGATTCAATGATTGTCGATAAGACCTGAGGTTATACAGAAGGATCCTTCAGTTATTGCACTCCGAGTCTATGATATTTATGAAGCTATACGGGATTTCGGTTCAGGAGACAGATTGATGCACATGTGAAAGATCTTAAAAATGCCTGAGGTTCAAACCTGCATCCATGTGTCCTCCAAATGACGCTCGGGAGAAGATTCAGGAGATGTAATCGCAGGAGGTATTGGATGTATCAGCTTTGGCACAACAACAAGATCTCTTCCCAGAACTAAAATTGCTCCGGCGTTATTGGCCGTACCTGCGAACGGAACAAGAAAAAGTTCATAATTCACAGATATTAAGTCCAGAACACTGATGAGTTACACACCTTCAAAATGAAAACTCCCTCTCCGAACGAACTGAACATTCAGCTTATTACCCGGCCTTACCGCAATAATTTGTGGCAGAAAAAAGAGTAATCAGATGACCCTGAGCAAAGCGCTCAAACCCATCCATAACACATTCATGCGCTCTGACGATAAGTTGCAAGTCATTGTTCTTGCAAAACTCCATAACTCGATCCGGCTGCAATTGAGTGTTAAGCTACTGTGTCAGTAGCTGGGATCATATATCTCGAAGAGATAACAACAAGCGGTGACCTAGCTGCACCACTTCAATTGCAAAATTGGGCGAACAAGTGTAACACGCAGCGAATTCACTTCTACGAACTGCGAACTATGTTGCAAAGTAGCAAATGCGTTAACTAACTGAGTTAGTCACTTACTCCGAAAGTAACCAGGCCCGGACCGCGAGCGTTAGGTCGTAGACCTTCCACACTGTCATTTTCTGTTGGATCAGACCTGAAGATAGAAAAAGACAAGCTCATTATCGACAGGCCAGACATTCTCCTGAAAACAAGTTCGTGATGCACGGTATGTAATTTGAGGTGATGTATTCCAACCGCCGCGTAGAAATACTGCGTTTCTTCTGGATAGATTACACATTTAAGTTTAAGGTACGTCACAGTAAACACTACTAATAGAGTACTGTGAAGGAAACTACCAGACCTTGACATAATGTCGGAAAGCGAACAAGGAGCAAAGCAAAGTACGTGGTGGCGTACCATAGCAGATCCATCAAAACAACAGACCCTGCCTCCATGGTTATCGGCCGCTGGAGTGCCTCAATCTGTTCGACATGATTTATGGACCTTCCTATTCCACCGTGCATACATATGATTTTTTTCTCTATGAGAGCTGCTAAAGGAAGCCAATTAAATAACGAGTTTATTCGTTGCCATGCCCATATACCCTCCTTTTCACCCTGCAAGTCAACATACCCCAGCGCATAAAGCACAAGAGATTTCCAAAGCATTCAGTCTACTGTGGATCGGTCACACTCTATACAAACTGCAAACTGCAAACTCTTCACAAAAAATGTCAGATGCCGAAAGGCGAATATTCTAACACAGTGAACTGCCTACAACTGCCTACGAGGACTGGTTTTCATGAAGATCCTTACCATCCGTTCGATGCACTCAATTCGAAAGCCAAACAGGGCATTGATGTCGGCAGCCTCATGGTTTCCTCGTATAAGATGAACATTGTTGGGATATTCTATCTACGGATCACCAAATCAAGCTGTTAGACTTCCAGATCGATGATATGCGTTGATAAGAACGGAATAGGAGTGTTAAAATCCAATGCACTGACTACAGTACATCAGAAATGTACCTTCAGAGCTAGAAGAAGGGTGATGGTTTCCAAGCTGTGCTGTCCCCGATCCACGTAGTCGCCCAAAAAGAGGTAATCAATATACCTGTATGCCAATGGAATCAGATATCCGCGTCGGCGGCCACAAAACATGAATGCTCCCAGAACGGGATTCCGTTTTCAAGAAAACGGAATCCCGTTCACGTTCCTGTGAACAAGACCTATTCCTTCTTAAACGATACCCGTTCACAGAGGGAAGAAGAAAAGAAGGTAAACAATACTACCTGGCAGCACTTCAACAGTATAAATAAGTAATAATTCAATTTACTGTTGTAACCAAAAATCGTCAGTTACTAAGTTACGCATACACGAGAGTTTACGCAATATGTGGGCTCGCCTTAACATAAATACAGGTGCCGGAAGAGAACACTTCTACAAGTCTTCTACCAAAGGTGGCAACAAAGTATTTCGTTTCACAAGGTTTGATACAGTGTGGCAATACACTGACAATGGCAACAAGTAAGAATATATGTTCATAAGAGTAAAGTCAATAAGGTTCTACAATTAAGAGTGTCTTTCCGGAGAAACCATAGATAAAACGGGTGATCAACCACATGCTATACACGCGAGGGGACCCAGACCCAGCGAGCATATCCCATAGTGGATGTTATAACTGGCAAGCAACATGGAGCAGAATAGCATGGCAGAGCATCCTACCGGAAAACCGACGAAATCGATTGACTAAATTCGTAGAAAGTATACAATAGAGAATCCCACATTCGATTTGCGGAAAAGAAAACCAGGCAGTGACACTCCATGAGACGAATTGCATGGACACATATGAGACAAAAAAAACATGCGTTAACAATCAAAACAATTGTTAAGGACCTGTCAGAAGAAAGTTCGGTATACTTTCTCAAGAAAAGACACCAGTGACCATCCAAAACATATATCCCACGGCATCACTCGATCATATGATGCCCGCTGCTTCATCAGTCGGCACCGTGAACCACTTTTTTCCACACTGGACCGCGCGAGGGTTGACTATAACTCGAAAACCAACGGACAATGGACAACTCACCTTTTACGCAAACCTACTGTAGATATTGTGAAGCACAATGTTACCATAAAAATGACCTACAGCATCGACCCCCTGAAGAAAATAACGAAGGATGAGGGGAAGGAGCTCAATTATATTTTCTAGTCAGAAGCAAAAAACAAGGCACTGACACCTAGAAAAACAAAGTGAATATGAACTACTTCAAAACAGGTAACTTGATTAAGGTAAATTGGAGGTTGATTGATAGCAAGAACAAGTATGAACACAGAATGGTAGTAAGTTTTAGCACAAAGAATACATAGTTTTAGCACATAAAATAGATCACCCGCAAATGCTTAGAATCTGAGAGACCGAAGCAACGGAATCACAGGTTTTGCGTCTCACAGATGCCATGTATGTATAAAAGATGGCAAAGCGAGACATGTCATGCATAGTCAGAGACGGTAAGAGGAGGAAGACAAACCGATGCAGGAGTACGAAGAGGCGAGATGGAGTACAACAGCTGTCAAACTAGCAGTGGTGGTTACTTAGTGTGCAGTTTCAAGCATCCAGTCTAACGGAAGAAAACGCTATTGTGACAATCAACATGTTCTGAACGGGAAGCGTTGCATACCATCAATCAGACTCGGCTGCTTTATCACAGGATACGAACATCTAAAGGTTACTGCACTGGAACGTTGGGGCTGACGAGAGCTCTAAGGCTAAAAAGCCAAGCTGGAAACGATGGTATGAATGCGTAATGCGCTGCCAAAAGATAGTATGCAAAGCACGAAGCACAGGATGAGCAAACATAACGGTAGTCAATGATTTTCACGGCACAGCAGAGGGGATTGATAAATCCAACACATAAGCTAGATGCGATAAACACATCGTTGAGGTATTCAACACGGAAACATTTTGTTGTCTTTAATAGAATACGTAAAGTTCATGCATGAAGCAACATTTGCACGAAAAAAGTGTATGAACGACAGAATATTTATGGCTCACATATCTGAACGCAATCCACACATTTGTTGCCACAGATACGTTCTATCGAGGCTGAATCAGAGTTTAGAGACTACAATCAACTGAACATACATCAGTTTATACTTATGTCTCAAGATCGAGTGAACTCAATACAATCGACGGGGCTAATTGAAGCGAAAGAGGGTGTCATTACAGATAGGTTCCACTTGTACCTTACTAACCGCATACTGGGTAGCACAGAGAACGAACATGCAACGTGCTTGAAAGGAGCCTACGGAAAATGCTGAAGTCCGAACTTCGCCTTCGTACTGCTATTACACTCCTCCTCCATCGGCACCTTCGTCTTACTTAATAAAGCTTCTAACTCTTAAGAAATCTGCTAACTCTTGCAGTTCATACAGTTTTTTCTGCTGAATATTGACTTCCTTGGATTTTATCCCCACCGGTTTACCGGTTGCCGGATACGAAGGTGCCGACGTGGGGAGAGAGATTACAGAAATTGTGTTACAAACCCAGTGTTAATAATCGAAGATTCCTTGGCACACAGAATGAATATGCAACCTGCTTGAATGGAGCCTGAAGAAAGAACGGTTGCTGAAGTCTATACTTTAGAGGAACCGATAAACAGCTGCATATTAAAATCCAGGGAAGTCGATATTCAGCAGAAAAAACTGTATGAACTGTAAGAGTAAACAGCTATTGTTAATGTGAGAAGTGGTAGTAGGTAACACGAAGGTTTCAACGGTGGGAAAGTAGTCATATTTTACATATATATACGTTACAGAGATTACACTGCTAACCCACAAGTTAGTAATCAAAGATTCCTTCGCGCATATAATGGGCATGCAACCTATTTGAATGCAGCCTGAAGAAAGATCGCAGGCCGATGTCTGCAGTTGAGAGCAACCGCGAGACAGGAGGAGATAAAAACTGTGGAAATGGAAGAGGAGTGGTAGTTGGTATCCAGGAAGGAATATCCAGGCTTAGACCAAGTATAAGAACTCATACTGGCCTTGGCTGTAGCTTGTAGTTAGGACGAGGTAGTACACTGAAGACGTAATTAAAGCTGGATAACTCACAATGATTGAAGTGATTACAAACCAAACCAATGGGAGATGAACTCACGTAAATGACCTGTGAGCACAACCATCTCATCATACGTACAAACCTGACAGATCCCAAGTAATTAAGGTGTAGGGTTAAGGAACATGAATTCTGCAGAAATAACAATGTTGCAGGACGACGGGCGTTGAATCATCAACGTACAACGGCGCATGGGAAGCGAAGCTTGTAAACAAGAAGTACCGAGGAATACTAGTGCTTGCGTTGATTCTATCCTGAAAAGGAGGAAAGTGAGTGTACATCGATTCGCTTCCGCTGTTATCAACACCTATATCTTCATAATTATTTTCACTCATTCTTCAACTCCCTATTCTTCTAATTAGCTAGATCGAGTAAGCATCGAAACTTAGCGGTGTGCCAATAAAGTAACGTTACACTTGTAGCTGCATGTTAGTGACAAAGAATTGCTTCGCATAGAGAATGAACAAGCAACCTACCTGAATGCAGCCAAAAAGAAAACAGGATGGCGATGTCTATACTGAAGAACTACCTTCCAGGAAGGGATGTGCAAGCTGGACTCTCTGGATACGGAATGAAATCCACAGGCTGCAGTCAAAGCGGAAAGTGAGCGTGAATGAAGACCCTCCCGCTGACTCCAAGATCCCATCAGACCTCTTCATGGATCCATTACACATTGCATTTCGTTTATAGGTCGTCACTGTGCTTCAAGACTGTACTGTATCCACCGTCGAAACGCAAACGGGTAGAAGAAAGTAAATGCATACCTAACACCCTCTGAGATTGGAATCAGTACAGGAAAGAACCACTCGGCAGAGAGCAGGTAACAGGATTCAGTATGATCGGTGACCGCCGCTCACTGATCATACTGATCATAATGTGTGCAGCTTGCCACTCACTGAGCGGCAAGCTGCACGCATTAGTCTAGTCATAGTTCCTACCAAAACCCTTCCTCTTTCATGAACCCAGCAATTGCCTTGCTGCTAGCGTATTATCATTCTTGTAATAGCAGTCTTGTAGTATGTTACCCAACAGGGTATTCTATTACAAGACTAATAGTACAAGAACGATATTGTACTGAGATACAAGCTATTCAAGTGGGCTATTAGGTAGCTATGCACTTACCCAGGTCGCTTCGGGATGGCCAAATAGAAAATGCCTGAATTTGCAGTTGAATTTTCTGCTAATTTAATACGGGATACTCTGAAGAAAAGTACTTTACAACACATAAACAACGCCAGATCGCAGCATGGGTGTAGCAACCAGCTTTACTTAAGATATTTCTGTTGTAACCCACGTGTTTCCTATGTGCGAAAGACAAGCTCACGAAAGTCCTCATTAATCTCATAGTAGGCCAAAGCTGGAGAACCATGCATTGTATGGCTGCAAGATATATTATAACTTATCCAATTGTAATCGTGAATGGCGGGTTTTCCGTGGGTGGCGAGGCATACTTTTGTAAACATAAGAGAATACACAAGCAGCAGAGATGTAGCATCAAAACCAATGCTTTCTGGAAAAAATCCACTACGGATATTCCACACATTCCAATGACTTCATCTTTGTTGAAGAAAATAAATTAGATTTAGAATCTAGTTCAAGGAACCAGGGTTTGGCGGACGAGAAGAAAAAGCAATCACCAATATTCAGCACGAAAAACCGAATAGAAACGAATGAATGCAAACGAGTCAATTGATACGAGGACCAGTAAAACGGCGGAATATGGAAGGGAGTCATAATCTTTAGAAACTATTGTAAAGATTGTAAGACAACATATCAAATGATCGAGCGCAAATGAAGAACATGCAAGGGCACCACAACATCTCAGACCTAGGTAGTACGAATAAGGCGTGCCGACTGATGACATTAAGACAGAGCAAACATTAAGACAAAGACCAAAGAGCAGAAAACGGTTGCGACTGAATACTACGAATCGGATGCAAACATGCAGATATAAACAAAAACAAGACAACGCTGTCAGACGGAAGCGAGTGAGGGACGTGAATGGGAGAACAAGTCCAGCTGTCGATATAACATTCCTGTGAGACTAGGACAGGAGTATGGAAGTGCCAGTGCGACGAAGGGAAGGCACCCATTGACCATCCACAGTCCTTGAATGAGAAAAGCCTCTCAAAGAAAGCGAGTGTATGTGATGGGTCAGGCTAGCAGTTTTTCCAGTTTACAATACATGATCAACCACAGGGACTTAGAATGCAAGGGGACTAAGACATCTCACATCTAGGTACAACGTCCCCAAGTTGCAAACGAAATATCTTCGACCGAAAGAATCATGAAGACAAAGACCGGAAGGACAAGAAAAATCTGGAAGCAACACAAAATGGCAACTGAGTGTGATTATGAATGCAAATCTGCAAAAGAAAAACAAGACAGAAGAACTTTGGAAAGACAGCTAGTTGAAGCAGGCCAAATATCAGTATGACACTGCTAGGAAAACTAGCTGGGCAGTATCCAAAGTCAGTCTGACGACAGAAAGGCCTCCAGTGGCCATCAACAACATTTCAACGATATTAGTCATAACCCGTCACATACACTTGGCTGCTTCATTGGTCAATGTAAAGAGCATAGTACTTTGCACTGGACAGAGCGGAGGCTGAGGATAACTCGAAGGCCAACAAGCCAAGGAGAAACATTTCTGTTGCCGAGCACTGTGTACCCACGAAGATGAATGACTCCTATACCCAAAGCAAAACCAAGCAAGAAGAGGAGTGTCACTCAACAACTAGCGATATAGACCAAGCTAGCATCTAGTACATCGACATAATGCAAGAACCGAGAAAATCGAAGGAGTATCACTTCCCTAGAATCAACATTCGTATGAACAAAATGCAACTTATGCGGCATTTTACGAGACAAATAATCAGATAATATCACACGTGATCAACCGCAAGGAGACCGAAGAGCAAATACCCGGAAGAACAACTATATGAGTTCTTATAAGGGCATGGTCCAGTACACTGGTATCATGATTCTTACAAAAATAGGATCCGAAATATTTTTCATATATAAACCTCGCAAAAATACATAGTAAAGCACTTCATCTAGAGAATGAGACACAAATCCCACGCAGGCACGATTCCAGTATTCGCAAAAAGTGATTTACAAAAAAAATGGGAGAAGGCACCAACAACCATGAAGGGTTAAAGTGCGCGGATAGGACAGAGGTAAGATTATTCACATTGAAACAACGAGTGACCGAGCACAAACGCTAACAAGCAAGGCGATCGAAGAGCATAGACCGGGTAGTTAAACTATAGGGGCTACCGAAACATGGCGCGATTCATCAGAATAATAGGAATCCTAGGAAACGTAACATGGCGTAGCACTCGACGTGAGTAAGTATACATACATTTGAAGGCAGGCATGCGTAGAAAACTAGAAATTCACAACTAGAAATAAAAGAAGTGCAATAATAAGTTGCAGAAAGGAGCAGCAGTCAGCAACAAACCAAGGGATGAAGTGCACGAGAAAGAGAAAAGTTATAACAAGATTAAAGAACAAATGAACGCAAATCATAACTCAAATCCAACAGATCGTGGAATCCTTCCCGTGCTACACAATCTCTTACCTCTAGGTCTACAGATCTTTAGGTTACATAGCACCAAAATAGCTAGAAAATCGAAAACATCGGATGCAACCATCCCCTTGAAGTTCTCTCAAAGAGGATGGATGAGAGCAATGAGACCATAGAGAGAATGAACGTACGCAAAGATGGCATGGGATCTAGACAGCGTGCTCAAGATAAAGCTCCCCCATGAAGTAGGTTCACTGTCGCATTCTTAGGTTGAATCTTAAAATCCTATAGTGTCATGAGTTCACCACAGCAGAACAGTTTCGAAATCGCTCGGTGAAGTGCAAAGAATCCTTGTCACAGATTTCTGTTTACGAAAGAGGGTCAGGGCATAAGTAATTGGCCGTGTACTCTATCCGTTAGTAGGCATAGAATTCAAATAGAATGATCTTGTATACAATGTCCCTACGCTCATACACCAGGAGCGGGTATTAAAAAAAGAAAATATTGAACGGCCACTGTTCGTGGAAATGTCCAGGCCTCTGATCTTCTAATCAAGTGGAAAAGAACTGAGCACTCTGAATGTTTAAGGAAGACAGACACTGAAGTGCAATGGATGCACAACTCACCCTACATTTGGCCGATGATGTAAACAATCGTTATAACACGTATTACTATGGCTTAACGCGCAAGGAGACCCGGAAGATATCATCGTAGGAACTCTACCTATCACATGACCTGATGCATCAGATCTGTAGATTTATAGAGATAAGCTCGAAGCATGGAATAGCGTTCAGCAGCGTCCAGGACAAACAACACATCGTTAGTCTCCTACACGGAGAAATGTGAAAGAAGGAGAAAGAGATGTACCGAGGGAAAGTATGCTACACAGAAACCACCCGACCATATGAGCGTCGAGTACGGTGTCAAAGAAGCTTGGTGGAATAGCAAATACCCGTCTCTATACCGAGTGCGAAGATGTATAAGTACTCAACGATAGCTCCCTCAATTTAAGGGGTAGTTTATCTCCAAATATAAGGCTGGGAGCAAAGAAGGAGAAAGAGATGTACCGAGGGAAAGTTTTTAGTACAACAGATAATGAAGAAGAAGAACAAAAAACACACCTACGAACAAGAGATGTTTCAATTAGGTCGCCACCTAAATGGCTACCTAATTGAAAGAGCCGAAAGCAAGTGGAAACGGTAGTCAGGTAGTACTATACATTAAGGAGAGTTCGTAAATCAAATAATCTTGGCAATAATCAAACTAACAAATAAACGTCATATAATGTAAAAGTGCGTAGAAAAAGGACATTCTAACCGACAGTCTTAACAATAGGCAGAACCAACAAACCTCACAGGAAAAACTTCAGTGTCTGTGGACTTTGGTTCCACTAGAACGACGCGTTGCGTGCTCAGAAAAGTACAGGACCTTACTGGTCGAAACTTGTGGGAACACTTTTACTTGAGCGAAGTTAAATGATATAAAGTTGTGATCTTGATTTAAAATGATGAAACACCCAAAGCACAATGGAAGTAGATCGTTTTGCAGTTTTCAGACTTACGTTATATCACCGGCGGTTGAAGGAGACCCATACTCATCAAATAAACGCATCAGATCGCCAAACTGACCATGTAGGTCACCAAATATTTTAACTGGTGCTTTGATTTGCAAGACGCTAGGCTCACGAGCAAACCATCTTTCTGCGGTATCACAAAGCTCAGCAATTTCATTGTATTCCATGAAAAATTGTCTTTTAACTGGGGGCTTCCAACCACGAGGTTTCAATAGATGTGAAAGCACCTGCAACAGATTCCGCCAAATGCTCAGCTCAAGAACCAAGCCAAAGGAATGATACGACAAGTATGAGATAATAGATATGTGGAAACATTACACAAGAAAGCCCATGTCATACCTTCTTTTGGACCCCACTTATAGACATCTGTCTATCTAGAAGTCTGCGAGCCGCACTCGCACTATCTGGTGTTCCATGACTCACTCGTCGACCTTCATTCTCAAACTGGTCGATGGAAAGCTGCCTCACCAATCCTCCTAGAGCTCCACCAGACTCCGCAGCTACAACAACCTGTGTACATACGGTAAAATTTTCACATTCCCAAACATATAATTTAACAACTTTGGGGAGTTCTTTCAATTTACAAACATCTCATGAGGCCCGCAAAACTCTCATGTGCATCTCGCCTAATGGAAAGGGACAGAAATTGGCACTTCTCCAGAACAACATGTCATGAAAAGAGCCAGAAAATGGCTATCACATACTGCTCGATGATGGAGCCTGACACCCACTGGGGGAGGATGTGAGGATGAAGTGACTAAGGCAGTCTTGCTAGGAAGAACCCCAGCCGATGAAGAAGTCAAAGACTTTCCACTCGGTGAGGCCTCAGCTCCGCGATCTCTTTCGACACTTTCCTTATCTGACTCTCCATTATTGTGACGTGCAGTAGCTGCGGCCAAAGCCGCACTAATTGCTTCTGCTTCAGCAGCAGAGGCTTTGACCAGTAACTCCACGCCTTTTACAGCACTCCTGCAAACATTCGGGCTTAGAAAAGGTACCAGTAAGGAAAGTCAAATCTATATGGAAACAATAACAACCGAATCATACTCATGAACATCCAGATCCTCAACTTACCGATGTCCAAGGGCGAACGCGTTCTCAGTACTGATATCCATAGACGTATCACCATGAATGGGAGCTGCAACAGGACTTCCCATTATCACTGCACCTTCTGATGATGCATCTAAAGATTTTATCTGCGCTTCATTGAAGCCCGCTGTGACACTTCCGCTTGCACTAGAAGGGGGCCCAGGGTTGCTACTACTTCCAAGGGCTGCAGAGGCTGCGGCAGCCTGGAGGGCAGCCGTTGTTGTTTCAGCGGCAGCCAAGTCCTCAGCAACAAGAAGATCATCTAACAGCACACCTGCAGAAATACAGAGAGTCACGAAAAAGCTGAACTAGACGATGTTCCATTGGCAACGATATTGAACGGAAAATATAATATATAAAAGATTGACGTCCAGCACTTGATACGCAGTGTGGACAACAGTGGAAACCGCGGTGCAGATGCCTCTGCGCTGGACCAGATCTCGAAAAAACATAGCTCTAAGGGCACTGAACAGCAATTCACGCAGACAGTAAATCGAGCAAACACAACATGCTTGATCCTACGGACGTAGTGCACAGTAATAACGAGCCAGTGTCCCTCCGGGTAAGAAAAAAACATAAAAGTTGCAACGACATCAGAACGTCCTGATAGGACACAAGAAAAGTTAACATACAAAGACGTAACAAAGACGATTTATGCAGTATAACAAAAAGGTATACTAACTAATATATCACAGGAGAAAAACTGTCACCAAAATTAGATACAGTGAGTTCAACGCAAAATAGTGCCCAGTTGTCAAGAGTAGTAAGGATAAGAATGCAAACTACAGATAAAAGCAAAATGTGTGTATGCTGTGTTTCACTAGTATTTGCCGGTGATAGCCTGAAGACCACAGACCCCGCACTATGGCTGAGCGGTGCATTCATTAATAATGAGCAAGAAGTACGAGTGGCAAAAGTTAAAAACAAAACGAGTTGAGAAGAATTATCATCTCGTGAGATATGTCCCCATAAATGAGAGCAGTCAAAAGATTTCCAGTTGACATCCACTATTTATCAGCAAAATAATTACTGCTCCAGGAAGCCACAGGTGTTATCTCACTGGTAGACAAACAACGGTACAAGGCACACCGTATCGTGTTTTAGACCGTTATATGTCTACCAGTATTCCCTCATCAGCCCTCCTCCATTGAGCATGTAACTATCAAACAGACATGTACCACAAACAGCCCACAAGAGCAGCGTGAGCTTCGTTTTTGTCGATACGGAATAGAGATTCCAGAGGCTTTAATCAACGTGGAACTGCAAGAATCAGGAGATAGCACATAAAATGTAGTAAGACCGAGTACAATTACTCAGTACGGACTTTGGGGGAAGTGACTCAGATTAAAAATGTAGCAGTCAATTGGAGTAATAATGACGGCTGCAAGGTGCACCATGATTACAGTGAATTCAAAGTGAAAAACACAGTTTTGAACTCATGTGAATGAAGCTGCAAGCAAGAGAATCGCATCAAGTTCAAGTCCACGAGCGACGGACACCGACACCATGCGCGAAAGGCACTGGAAGCGTCCGACACCGACTAGGTCGATGGGCACGACGAAAACCGCATTCGAGAGAAATTGTACATCTCAGTCTTCAAGAGACTCAAACATGGATGACGCAACGCAACATAAAATGGAGGGTAGAATATGAAGCGAGACACATCAAGTGCCAAGAGGTACCGAGACGGGGAAGTGCTTGCGTACTACCTATCAATGCTAAATAGGAACTCACAGACGAGCAACGCGAAAGCGAAATCAGAGCAAAGAATGAGGCAGGTGGAACACTCCTATAGAGGGAATTGGGCACAGGCATTTCGAGCAGAAAAACGAGGCGGCAAGCAGATGAGTAGGGCCGAAATTCAAGGAGCTGGTACATACGAGTGTGGTGGCACTATATAAAAACAGAAAGTGAAAAAGGATAATATGAGATCACAATCGACTGTTATAACGCTCATCACTTAACACAGTGGATGATTCCGGCACATCTCTAAATAACAGTGTAAATGCTCCCTTACGTTAAAAACCTCCATGGCCGAATAAAGAACCAAATTGTTTGAGATAGCTTCACCTCCGGAGGATTGAAGCTATTCTCGGGACGAAAAAGCTTGGTGAGCATCCTCTATCTAGTAGAGTGATAAATAAGTCTTGCGCTCAATCCTAGTGGTACAAATGATGGCTAGCTTGTGCAGACAGCTACTAACTATACGATGTTGCGTACTTTCGCCTGGATTGGACATTATGATATACGACATACTGTACATGGCTGTATTCTACGCAGCGTCCTTTGTCCAAATTCGAATTTCCAAACCCTTCCAGATATATTCTGCTATGAAAACATTAATGAAACAACAAAGAAACCAGATGAAACGAATCGAGTTCACAGCTATGAACTTACTCTATATCACCGCCCACAACGTTGCAGGAGAGATACATGAACGAAGAGAAATCAAAACGGTCAGGAACTTAGAGGTCATCAACAAAACGTCTAAATAATAGCAAATTTGACAGTACAGAACCCGAGACCTCGCTTTGATGGATCTGGAGAGTACGACGCTCTATGACACCCACTTCATTCTTGAACAAAGGAAATTTGAGCTAAAAGACTGCACAGTAAGTAACAAACGAAAGACCGATATTTGTTTGTGGAAAACTTGATAAAAGGTCACGTAGAGCTTGCCAAGCAAGAAATATAACCAAGTAGTTACAAACATGTGAACAGATCGAGTAAAAATACTCGATAGAAGCCGTGGGGTTATGTTGTATAGAAATAATAACCTGCAGTTGGTTAAAATGTGGCTCTGGTGGTCTTTCGTAGACCGGGATCTGTAGTTTTGAAGCAGATAGGAAATGGTCAGAAAAGAACAAGAGTAAGCGGATAAAGTTCGATCAGCCTCGCAAGATTTCCGGGGATATGAACTTTCTGCAATAGCATGTGGATATACATAAAATATGCTCTATACAAGATATCAGTGAACTCTGAAACTAAAGGGACGAAGAGATAATCTACAAATCGTCGAAATTTGAGAAGCATAGTGAAGAGTTCGCAGTGTTCTCGAAAGAAGAGGTTTGGCTCGCGGTTTGGAATCCAATAAAAATATGAAGAGGTATTACTTGGGTCAAACATCACAATTGCTTCCCATAGGGATAACGATAATTCGTCGATCGAGATTTCCTCCGAAATTTAAAGGAAACAATCAACCACAAAATCCATGCAAGTAATGGAACATCTGGAGAGAAAAACGCTGTCCAGATGATAGGCTGTCGGAAACCTCCGAACGGTTCTGCACTAGTTTGTCTCCGGCTCTTTGATCCAGTTGACAATATCATACTGCGCTCCTAGCAAGTTGAATCCAAATTACAAAAATAAAATTGTATTAAGTGGTTTTATTGTCATAAGAAACTACATGACCATGGATGGTGAGTAATAAGAAACTGAGAACAGGGACATCTGCAAGTGTGATGGCCGTTGTGCTAGAAAAGCATAATTGGGAAAAATCGACCTAGTGTATTAGTTGGAACTTACCATTGTCTCATGTTATCATATCAGATCCCATATGATACAAATCACAAAGTTGCTCTTGCTATTGATATACCCATTAAAACGTTTGTACGCAGTAATCTGTATTACTATTGGGCTGCCGAAAGGAGCCCCGATTTTGCAGTAGTCTCCTGTGGAAGATCAGACGTATCTTACCTCCCCGGAGTCCACCATACATGAAGATAAGATCGCCAACGGCAGCTGCAGCATGTCGACATCGTCTTGTCAGCTCACAAGATGCCTCCCCTCCCGCAGCATCCGCACTATACCTTCCAGTGCGCGGGCTCGTAACCACGGACTTTCGATCGCACCAGACACCGGCTGCTGTATCCAGCACTGAAAATTCAAACATACATGTTAGTATCACACTTACCAGTTGTCAACTCTTCTTCAGAAAATGTAAGTCCAATATCATATCTCATAAAACCACAGCATCATTTGTGACTGCTGCAAGTGGCCTAAGCTTGACACATAACCTGCTACACTGGAAGCATCCTCAACCATTCGGCCGCCCCCGAGAGCTCCACCAGATACATGCAACCTCGCATTCACGAAAACCTGTTCCCACATATCACAAAGGAGTCAGGAGTTAGAGAAGATTAGGCCAACGCAAACCAGGAAGTAAGCCTGAACGAGGCAAACTGGGTAACATGAGCGAATTTGAAAACGTGCAAGTCCTCTATGCTTTTCAGCATCTCATTAAACTTACTGCAGCATGTTGGTAGCGCGGAGAAGGTGATACACCGGGAGCAATCGCCCATTCCCAGCGTCCATCACGATGCTTTGCAAGTCCATACGCGCTTGCAAGAGGCTACAAAAATGAAAAGAACACAGTCTCGTGTGAACCACTAGTGCTGGTCTCCTAAACTTCAATTACCGCCAAATTACAGAACGTTTTTCAGGCCAAACTCTTCCAAGAAAGCCTGACAAGCGTGACTTCCATACCGTACCATAATTGTAAACCGGGTGCTAAAACCCTTCACTCCACTTTCATAAAAATGTGTAGTAGTCCAAACGTATGACACTAAACGGCAAGTATTTACTATGGCCTAGAGGGTTTTGACACGACAGACTTACATACTTAAGCGAAAACAGATCAGTTGACGAGATAGAATTCGTAATAAGATATCTAACGAAAGCATGAAGCGGATAAAATGCCCCTTCTAAAGCACAGGGAGAATGTGGATTGAACCAAAAATATGTGCACGCATGCTGAACAAATCCAAAATCTCTTAAACATACGTAGTACAAAATTGACGTGTAGATATGAAGAGTAAAGGTCTCGAAAGTGAACAGATGTCATGTTCTAATAATAATAGTAGCACGGCAACTCAAAGTTTCTTTCCAAGTTAAAAGAACCCAAAAAAAAAACGTCAGGACTTAATACACTCCTTGCCCTTGCCCATTACCTCAGATATAGAACCCTCAAAATATCAAGTCAAAGATCCAACATGGTGGGCAGTTTTACGGGAAAATAGATAAAACAGTACATGATCAACCGCAGGGGCTTAGCATGCAACTCATCTAGGTGTTATGTTTCAGGGGTGCAAACAAAATCATAAGATAGAAAGAAGCACGAAGACAAAGATCATAAGGAAACTTGTGTTTACGCGCCAACATAAACAAGGAGTAGAAGAACGGTGGAAAATGGAAGCTAGTACAGGCAGACCAGCTGTCAATCTAACATAGCTGGGAAGAGCGGTAACACAAATTCTGGTAACCACAATGGAAGAGCGTCTCCGACGCAAGAATAGCCTCCAGTGACCATCACCAATATTCGAACGGGAAGCGTCAAACTCCGGTCACATACACTCGGCTGCTTCATCAGTAGATAGATACATACGCTTTTGCAGAAGACCGGAGGTTGAAGATAACTCGAAGCCCAAGAAGGAAAGACGCATCCCAGACCTGTGTCAATTATTGGCTAGCACTATCTACCTGTGATGAAGAACGAAATGCCAGACCGAAACAAAAACTAAGAAAATGGAGTGAGTGTCACTCCACTGGAAAGACATTCAGAAAAGTAGAAAAGACAGTAATCAACACATACAGATCGAAGACATCATCAAGGGGTCCATGTAGAAAAATAACAGACATGTATAAGATATAAATAGTGCAAAAGGAAAGAAGAGAACTGAGGTGTGGCAGAACTGAAGTTGAGAACGGTCTTGTAAACAAGCTCCTTGACGTGTCTATGAAACCTGACGATATATATTACGCGGTAGATAGAGCGTGTTTAGACGTTGTCAAGAAGCATAGTTTCTAAAGAATCATTCTACTTGAGCTGACACGAACCCAAAATTGGACTGAAAGGATATCCTACACAGCACATGAAAAAGGGTGATAACTGATTATTTCGATTGTGTCTCTCATCGCTATCATAGAGCTGGGTTTCCAATGGAGGATCAGACTGGGAAAGTGCAAGGTCCACAAAGCAGCAAGTGCTGGCAAGAAACAGTCTGATTGAGTTCGCAAGATTCCCTGGAATATTGACCCCTGCGAAACCTTCTAGAGAAAAGTACATCAGATCTACGAACTCCGGACAGCAAGGATGAAAAGATCATCTACACTAGTGTTAAACGTTTACATATATAGCCAAGACATCGTTGTGTTCCCGAATTACGAGAAACCGGGGAACGAAGTCCCGGTTCCTAAACGTTAAAGTAAGAGTTAGTACAATAGTACCCATAGAATCTCAATGATTAGACGATAGACACCTTCCTCAAAACATAAATGAAAGCTATCTGGACCAAAACTGTAACAAGCGAAGAAACCTGGAGACACACGGAAAACAAAAATCCTAAAACCTTCAACAAATAATAGAGTGCAAACGCCAAAACTCAAAACCACGTCAGTCATGCATAAGAGAAAACTGGAATTCATTCAAGGTCAACAAGAACGGAGGCTTAATGCATGGATGAATATTGACAGTCCCACAAAAGACCGTAAGCCTTGCATAATACTGAGGCCAATAACTGTGAAAAGACCTGTAAGGATGACCTAACAACACACCGCCCTTACGAACCACAAAGCTCTCATTTCCCGACAATATATCATAAAATGACGCTAATAAACCAAAGCATGATCAGAAGAAACTCCTGGTTGGAATAACGAGAAAAAGTCCAAACTCCTCTCATCACTGAACAACAAAGAGCGTGGCCTCCTTTTAACTCAGTTGATAAATTCCGAAGCTTATCATATTCTTAGTAATTCGGGAAAACACAACCCTCACGGTCGACGTGACAGCGGCGAGACACTGACATGTTTAGTACGTCGATTAGTTGAACGATATTGTAAGACGTACAGAGCAGTCAAACAAAAAAAGTCTCAGTTTTGTGAAGATAATGATCAGTGACAAATACCACACTGCTGGCATCTCTTCCACCACAAAGTAATAAAAGACCGTCCGATCTGGCGCTAGCTGTTGCATACCTGCAAGAATAACGAACCAAAAGCGTTATGAAAAAAATTCGATGAATGGGAGCGCAATCGACTGTATGAGACTTCAAATGCTTCAGTCTGTACCAGGTTCATTGCATCAACTTTACTAGACAGCTCAAATACAACTAATCAAACGCAAGGACTTAAAAAGAAACGAGACCAAAGACCACACCCGACAGGTACAACCATTGGAAATAGATGTGACACATAACCGCATGCATCAGAATTGTAAACCAATGAAGGCCCAAAACATGGCAAACCTTGGCAATCTTGAATAAACAACCAAACCGGATCCAGCTTCCAAGCCATTGACTCCTTAACAAAACCCAAACTTCTAAGGTCTAGTTAGTATGGGTGATGAAAAGGTAATACATGCATGGAGGAGGACCATCTCCCTCCGGCTCCAGTTTACGCCACTCGTAAGGCTTGGCAGCAGTATCTAGTGCCCAGACATCAGCAAGGGGCCGCTTTCCTGCATATGCAAAACTGAATGTAAATGTTCACATATCTACATTCCATCACTTTGCTTAAATTTCGCGCTAGTTTTCCAGGCACAAAAGAAATCAAATCACCTAGCTTACCGTCATTGCCACTTATTGAGAGGAGAAACCGCTGTGCCACCAAAGACATAACATGACCATATCGAGGTCCGGGTCCGGGCCCTTGCACAACAACTCTGCTCAAAGGTTGTAAATTGAATGGTTAATTGCACCGATACACAATGACAAATAGCAATCCTTCTCCCTCTCAGAGAAAAAAAAAAGAATGACTTGCATAAGAGGAGAAGTATCTCCAAGGACGTGGGTCCGTATCTCTAGCCGGAACCGATATATATTGCGTGACAACATGTTCGAACCAAGATGTTGAGAAAGCAATAAACCGCGTAATATATAGATAGAAAATCACTCCCGATAGATCGACATAAGTTCAGGGGAGCAATAAAAAACGGCAAGAATAATATGCTTGACGTAAAGAACCACGACTCCGTCAGCACCCATGATGTCCTCCAATAATAGTCAATAAATTTGTAATTTAAAACGCAAGGGCTCGGCATGCAAGGAGATAGTCGCAAACCGAAAAGTCATGAATGACAATCAGAAATGCTCACAGGTCTCAAAAGACAAAGGCGATCCTGACAAGCGAAAAAATTCCTGGTTGTGAAGTGCAATGTCTAACATGCTTATAAGCCTCATGACACGAGCAATCAGAATATCCAACGATAGAAGAAAGGGATAGAAGAAGGAAATTAAGCTTCATTGAAACGTGTGCGGTTGAGGATCTCTCGGAAGATGCTATCCGGGGTCCAGTTACCAACATCCACGGGTGAGTGGCAGCCATCACTTTGCCACCTCTCAACCAGTCTGCGTCATCAGTATGTACCGAGGCGCATAGGTATCTGGCTGTAATCGTGCAAGGCGGGACGGCAGTATGCATCACCAGGATGGATATGCAGGTTACCGGGCAACATCCAGGGAATGCCATTGGCAGAGAAGTCTGGCGCTGCCTGCACAGCAATGTATACTGCGTAAAGGACTGTTCGAACCAAGATTACTATTACGGTCTCACACCCAGTGATAAAATGGTAAATAAGGCATCACGGAATGACAGACACAAGAATGCTGTAAGCCTCTTACACCTTACAATCGCCTGATTGAGGCGATTGTAAAGTGCGCTGCAACAGTAAATCTGAGCTTCTTACGTGTTTGCAGAGCCGCGGCATTGACAAAGCTCAATTTAAGCAAGGATCGCAAGTGACCACAACATAAACGTGCATAAACAATCGAAGCCAGGCAACTGGAAAGAATTAGTCACCACTGCGGAGACATGCAACCAGAACTGAGATCACAAAAAACCCCAGTATCCTGTAACAAAAATACATTCAGCACATAAGCCGTACATCCTTAATGTAGGAATGACCGTGCCCCAGTCCAGGGACGGTTAAATTTAAACAATTTGTTGACGGAGAGGACGAATAAATTGAAAAAGCGTGTGGACACCCACAAGGGCTTAGCATGCGAAAAAAGAATTAAACCAAAACACTTAATGCGGGGTCACGGAAAAGGCTGATGAGAAATCCGGAAGTCATGTGAAGACAAAACACACCAGTTTTGACAGACAAGCGTTTCCTTGTTACATATATGCATGCCTTCACGTCAGGTGCATCCAAGGCCCAAAAACATTCATCAGCGCCAAGATCGCAAGCATCAGTTTGCGATCATACGAACCCCGAGTAATCACCCGAGCGTACCGGAGGGCAAAGCTTTCTGCACGAAATTGCGAGATGTAGGGCCACAGTTGGCATCACCTAGATGAAGTTCCCCACAAATCCGTTTGGACTCCTAAGCTCTTCTGTCTCTGTATTTTGTATTGTGTTTCATGCCTTTAGACTCTTTGGGTCTTCCGGGCTTGATATTTATTCTCCAATTTTGTATCACCACCTGATGCACCTGATGATTCACAAAGCCAGCTTTGAATTGAAAGAATACTCTAATCTTGCCGTTGTCGGGGATGTTCAAGAAGTGACGCTTAAAGCCTCAGTTTACTTAGCAACGGGTCCGGCTTTACTTTCTAAATCTATCCATTTCTGAACCTCCAACGTCTACAGTCATGACAATGAATAGTAATGCAGATTCTGCGACATCTCGCAGCAAATTACCGTGTCAAAGCCCTCCTTTTATCGGTTTCGATCAGCCGAGAACAAATCTTTTAACAAAAAGCGTTGTACTTGAACGAGACAACGAGAAAGAAAGAAACTTGGATCTTCCTCTTAGATTACTACGTCATGGAGCCCCTACGTACTTCTTTCCCGACCTTTCTAAGTACTGATCACATGCCGTAGGCTTGATTGAACTTTGATTGAGGCACTTCGTGTTGCTACAATGATCACGTCTCCCGGTAGATACCACGCACTTGGAAACAAGAAGAATATTGTCATGAACAAACAAATTTCGAAGACCTGAAATGCACTGAATGGACAGAAAAGGCTAAAGACCCTGGACTATATACGTGTGGGCTGCCTGCAAAAGAATTATATTCCTATGTTGAAGAAACTCGACTTCATCAACGCTCATAATGCTGTAGAAGTAGAAGCTGGGTAAGTCCCAATACGCGTAGTCACGAAATTTTGTACTACACAAAAGGGAACAATGCTCGAGTAACAGTGCATCACACGGAGCAAGCGATTATCCTCTGATAGTTTCTTTCGATATCAGTGATAGTTCCACCCCACCAAACAAACTGGATATATACGAATGAGAACCAGCACTTGAAAGAAGTTCCGAGCGAAGAAACACTGCTTAGCAAATCGTATGTTGATATTCAAACCTATTCAGTCGTGGGAGGGATATGGCATCCGATGCTAGCCCAAAAAGGGAACGTTTTAAAACGTCAGGTGAAAAACACAAACCCTCATATCCGGTGTGAACGTTCAAGCCATTAATAACCCCAGACTCGATAATTACGTAGATAATGCGAACCCCGCTTCCCCCACCTCGCGTAGCAGGTGTGAATGCGTATCAAAGGAGACAAGAATTCATTACCGAGAGCGGACTTAAACCTGTCACCTTTGAAACGGCTATTAAATGTGTCACTTTTGTCAAATCCATCTGATTCCAATTTCGGCCATAAGTTCGTGGACGAGCTCCTTCTTCAGATAACACAATACATGATCACCGTAAGGGCTAAGCATGCAAGAGACCGAAGGATCACAAACGTAGGTGACATGTCTCAATGGTGCCACCGAAATACACTAAATGAGAAGAGGATGATGGTAAAACTGGAACGTGTGTAAGGATAGAAGCCATAAGATAGATAGATACAAACTGATGCATCAGTGCAAAATGCCTGGAAGAAGCAAAACTATGGAATACAGGAGGAGACCAGCTGTAGGGTTGACAGTGGTTTGAGAACTAAGTAGAGTATAGAGGATACAGTCGGACGAAAATGTTACCATCGAAAAACTTTCAACGGAAGCGACACAATCCCGTCACGTAGACCCGGCTGCTTCGCCAGTGGAAAAAGAAAAGCATAGATAGTATAAGTGGGTGTTGTGGTTGCTATCAGATAGAATTGGCAAAGAGATTTATGGCTTAGGCTAAATGCTGTCGACGTGCACTTATGCGAGAGAAACAATCTATCTGCGCCTACCGATTCCTAGTTTAGTCTTATGAAGATCCAGGAAAGGATGTATGGAAAAGTAATTTGTTGCGGTGGCTACTTGTGGCTTAAGTGAATTGTCGAAGACCTGAATCTGTTCTTTCGTATTCACGATAATGTCATTGTAGCAGATTAGAAAATAGTCAAATAACAAAAACAACCTGAGTTAGCTGAGAAGGTTTGATTGAGTTTGCAGGATTTCCTGGATAGCATACCCCTGCAATAGCATATCGAGACATATACAGCAGATCTGTGGACTCCGGAACTGCGGGACAGTGGACATTAAAACAGTGGACATGAAGTCGTAATGAACTCACGTGAGCAAAGCTCCAAGCAAGAACATCCCATCAAGTGCAAGTCCTCGAGCAACAAGAAACCGAAATCATGCGTGGAAGTAGCTGGAAGTGAAATAATCCAACAATGCACAAGACGATGAACAGGCAACAGAAACCATCAACGGAAGAAAGTGGACAGCTCAACCTTGCAGGAAACGGGCGTTGGATGACTCAACGTAGAATGGAGGCGGTGGATGTGAATCGTGATAATAAGAATACAGACGATACCGAATGCCTAAGGGCTAACGGAGACGAAAAAAGTGAGCGTTTGTCAATGTGCTCACGCTGTTTCCAAGACCTCATCAGTCGCCCGAGGCCTCTCCACAAAGCAAGGATTATAGACGGACCTAAACAGAGAAAATAAACAACTTTGTAGCCAAGAGAATAAAACAGAGTAGTGATAGTCTGGTAGAGTTCATCCTGGGTGCGCATAACCCAATCGTAGTTTCAACTTTTGTACAGATGGCTAATAATTCAGAGTAGCCCCTCCTCAGTAACCAAACATGTAGTGTGTAAGACACTGGAATGATTGGACCAAGATTGCCTTCAAGCTGTCAAATTCAAAATAGAATAGAGTGAAGCGTGAAGCATTGTCTCCATACACACAAGCGTCAGTGCCGATGAACAAGACGTGAAGAGTGACAGCGTAAATAGTAACCCAAAAAAATGAGCCATTATGAAGACAGACACTTAAACGACAAACTTCAGCTCGACAATCCAGGATGTCGCGGATTCAGATTCCGTACTGAGATCGGATTAGGAAAAGACCATAGTCATTACTATTCTACTAGTCGTTGCCTGATGACACCGGGTCCTATTTTTGGCTGGCGATGGTAGTAGTAACACACCCAGAAGACGGTGACGAAAGATGAAGACTTTTCTGAGAGTGAAAGGGCTCTTATAATGTGATAAATTCCTCCGGTTAGGTTTGTTCAAAGGTTAATGGTGGGAACCCATCAACTCTTCAATAAATTAGGCCAAAAAGTATAGGGTGCTGCAGCTTCAAGGGTGCTGCAGCTTTGGAGTCGGATAAATCAAGGCATAAATAGGTGTATGTTTCTCGTTCCAAAAGCTGACCCAGATTTTGGTATAAGGTCAGGTGAGTTCAAACAGTCAAAGGAGCTAGAGGAAAGCATAATGTTCCCTTTATGCAGTTCGGCGGCACCATGAGGGTGTATACAATGCACAGGATTCTGCCAAAATTACGCGACCTAAGCAATAGTTGGCAACACATAAATTCACTCTACAATCCATGGCAGAGCCCAGAGCGTGCCACAGAGAAGGCAACTCTGGGATGCATACGAATTCCTACACAAAGTTCAGGGCTTCGGTATTATCGCAGAGCACAAGATCAGAGATTTGATATACAAGTATTTCGAATAGAGCTTGTTTTCTCATGCGAGAGCAAAATGAGCCTTCAGAGAAACGCAGTCATACCTGTGCCACCGAGGTCTTGACTGGGTTAGGTCAAGAACATGAAGGTCATCTGTAGAAAGACCGGCAGGACCTATACCACCCTGAGACAACAATGGCAATATGCTTGGCTCTTAGTCTTTTGTTGAAGCATTGTCAATAGGACCTCAAGAAAGATGAATTCCTCTCATGCAAGCCAAATGCCCATCTCAAAGTAGGTTGTGTAAATCTTCACCTGAATCACAACCATAGTGCCAACTGCTGTGGCGGCGTGAGCAGCTCGAGGAGAGGGTGGATCCCCAACAGGAGTAAGTCTGCGGGCAAAGAGGTACCCCAATACATCGCCTTGATGGTTACTTAACTTCATGTAGTTTCACACAGCATAAAAAATAGAAATGCACTCAGTTGGACATAGAATCGGGTGAAGTTGATAAACTGTACCAACAAAGTTCTAAAACTCGCTATTTCGACAAACGGACAAGTATCTAAACGGTATGAGTATAAGGTTTCCACATCTGGCAGCCAAGGTACCCAGAATGATAACTTGATAATGCAATCAACAATCACCAAGCTGCGCTTTCAAGTTAGTGACTACAAGCACGACAAGTCGTAAAAGACCACCTAATTACATGATACTCGATGAACAACTATAAATCGTAAAAATAAACAGGAGAGTTCCGTGCACCCATAAACAGGGTACTCTATGTAGATCGGAAGAATGCAAAATAGAAAAGATCATCCACCGATGCCTGAGCTATATATTAGGGTTGGTGGCAACATAAGAAACTTTGCGAATGATGGCAGAAGTTGGTAGTAAAAGAAAAAGTGGAGTCATATCCGAAAACCAAGCTCCATGGAAAAAGAGAGGAAAACTACCCCACCACAATATACCAGAGAAAAGGGCAAAAGGATTTAGAACCGCACGATATCCGCCAAATGCCACATGCTGCAAAAGTTCGTGAACAGAGACGGCTTGTTTACGATCAGCGTAAGCAAGAAAGCCAGTATTAAAGAGCGTAATCGGTATGAGATATACTGGGCAAACAAGAACAGGGTTGGACAAAGACATCTTTGAGTTTTCAGTAAAACGTACTGATTAGAGACTAAGAGACTGATTAGAGATTAGAGACTAGAGACACAAAGAGACACATATGTTCGTGAACACCGTACACACAAAAAGAGGAAACCAATTTCAGATGGACGTGTAAAAGTGAATCAATGCAACAACTGTACGATAAATCCACTGTAAATATCACAGTAAAAGATCCAAGTAGCAAGTAATACATCACCGAGGATTCGATAACACCCAACGAACGCGTAGGTAGTAACAACTCAACCAGAGACACCACCACACAAACAAAAACAATTGATGTCTTCGGAGTGGTACCATAGACGTATTGATTACCAGAGAATACTGACAGACGTACGTTGCCTTCCAGAAAAGGGAAGTGAAAAACGACAAACAAAAGGATAAAGTCCACGAATAAGAGATAAAATAGAAAGAAACATGGATAAAAGAACAAATGAGTACATAGGCACTGATGGACCAACGAGAAAATGAAGAATGGACCATCAACGATATCTGACAGGTTCTTATCCAAGTCAATAAGTGAGAATGTCACAACGATAGATGTAGCACCGCAGTTTGAGGCAAGACTTTAAACCAGAGAGAACTTCGAGAGATTACTCCTCATTTTTCAAAAAGAGACATTGAACGAGAGTTACCAGCAAATCATGTACAAAAACAAGCAACCAAACGTAAGCTTTAAGCAATCTTCAGCAAGATTTTACTACAGTAAACTTGATTGATTATGAGCACATGCAAAAACCCATGATCACAGACTGAGTCAAATGCCAGATCAGCAAACATGTTCTAGTTATATAATAAGTACTACACCATCAACCACACGAGCTAAGGATGTACAAGACCGAATAGCACACGCGGGTGGAGTACACTAGCAAGGGCTCTGACTGATTAATGGAGAGAGACGCGGCGCATACATGGCATCTAAAGAATAATGCAGAACGTAGAAAAGGTAAAGCAGAGCAGATGATACTTAGGCGAGGCATATTGTGCTGAGAGAATGCAGAGAAATAACACAGAGTGGAAAGCATAAGCTTCATGGAAAAGAAGCAGGAAACAGCAGGCACATCATCATAAAAGCACCAATAATAGCCTTGAATATAAAGGACCGGGTTAAAATAAGAGAGTGCTGACACACTAAGAAAGAATGTGCAGTGTAATTCCTCAATTCCGACGTGAGAGGAACGAGGGACCAAAGACAAGATCTACCCGACAGGCATCACACCATCGTCACATGATCCCGGCTGCATCATCACTGGATACAGGGGCGAAAAGGTTTCTGCGATGGAACTTCAGTCATTTAAATGTAGCAAGATCAACTAAAGTAAGCGCGGCGTGGCTCTCACAGAAATCAAAACTGTGCCACTACAATGAAGTTCAAATGTACCTGCAACTTACTGACATGATCTTTTCACGAGCACAATATACATAATATAAGAAACTTGAATGTAGCCTGATCCTGTAACAATCCGATGCTGGTTTACATAGTTCAAATCAAACGTAAGTCGTGTGCAGGTAAAGATTACGTTGATCAAGAAGTACATGTTCACCGCAGGGGCTTTGCATGCAGACAACCGTATAGTACCATTCCAACTATCAAGTGACGATGAAACTTCAACAACAAAAAAAGTAAAACTGGAAGAGAAATTTAGAAAACCAAGTACTATTGAGGAACCGAGGAAGGATGGAACAAGATTACGAAATACAAAAACAGAAGCTCTAGTCAGAGCAGAAAGTAAGCATGTATCAAGCCGCTCCCGCTATCTACAAGATCTCGTAAGCCCCCTTCAGAAATCTCATTTAGTATGGACAGCTGTAAAACCTCAAGTTTCAATTCGAGGTCATCGCGCTGGGTTTCGATCCAGTCGAAGAGGAACAGTTCTGCTTGTGTTTATGCATATACGTATAGCGGGACCAAGTAAAAAAATTCAGTACGGGCCTTGGGGCTATGGGTGACATTATAAGGTGTGGCAGTAAATTGAGAGCATAATAAAAGCTACAGACCCCACGTTAAGATTAAACTACGGAAGCATGAACGTACTTCAATAAAGCTGAAAGCGAAAGCATCCAACAGAAGCCAAATCCACGAGCAAAACGCAACAGAAACCGTGCGTAAGAATCCGTGAGGAACGCAAGAATCCAAGAGGGCTGAATTCAACAGCAACAATCATAAATATTGCAGGACTAAGGGCGCTGAATGATTCACGGAGAGCAGAGGTGGTGAATCCGAAGCGAAACATGAAAAAGGTCACAGACGGTAAGTAGGAAGGGAAATGCTAGCATAGATCCTATCAATGCTGAATGGGAAACGACAGACTCTAACGTACGAAGAAAGTGAGGGTGCATCAATGCGCTCCCACTATTTCCAAGAACTCATCAACCCCCGTGAGACATGTAGTCTCAATTTATATAGATATATAGACGAAGCAAGATCGAATTCAAGTACTCAATGTAAGCAGTGGGGCTAGGAGCGAATTTGATAGCTCTCCAAATACAATAGGGTTCCAGTTGTACCTGCAGCTTAGTTACAATTCTTGCTTCGCAAAGAGAATGGACATATGACCTACTTGAATGCAGCCTGAAGAAAAATCGGATGCCGAGGCCTGTAATTGGGAGCAAACGCCAAAAAGGTGGAGATACCAATCCAGAGAAGAGGAGATTTAGGATCAAAATCATCTGGAACTCGAATAAGAAATGTTATCAGGTACCACGAAGGTACCCAGGTAGGGATGTGCAGGCTTGCATTTTAAGGATACGGAGCAGAATAAAGATGAAGTAATCAACGTGAAAATTGAGCATAGTGCACAGTTCGGCGATTATTTGGATTTTGAATTTGCACATATTAACTAGAAGATTTGGCCTAAGCAGCTTACGATGAATTATGTCTGGTCTATTGGTATCGAGCCCACCAGAGAGGGCACTTTGTTTCTCATCCCTATACCCAAAACGTAGTGAGCTGCTATACTAGTAGAGTAGAAATTAAACTAAAACATGTCTCTATAACATTTTCAGAAGATTTATGCAACAATCGGACAAAAGATAGTAAAATTGGACAATCCTTCCAAGACCTTCAAAAACATTGGTACTCGATGACAATCGCAACCACAACCTACATAGGAGTTAAAAACCAGAAACGAAGAAACGTGAAAAACTGAACTAAGGGGCATCTACAAGGTATCCTTGCGACGATCCATAACAATCATGAGCTGGTCCCTACATAACCTAGTACAACATCCTCTACATGACTTTGCACTCAAACATCACGGACGTCTGCCAAACTACAGCAATATGACAGGACCCCAGCACGAGCTTCATCCAATAACCCAATGTACGAGAAAAGAAATAACAATCTTGCTGGTGTGAGAAGACTGCTCGTAATATTCCCTTAGAGAATTTTAGGACCAAGTTTACATCTAGAACAAGGTAAAGAACAAGAGACCGTAAACTTCACGGGATGACCATAGCAATGTGAGTTACGTGAAAACAGGAACATAAGATGTTTCTAATTTTATATTAACATTCTTTCTTGCAGTTCTAAATACCGTTGCCTTCATAAGGAATCTAAATTGTCAAGGTGCATCTCTCGCCACTAACAGCAAATTGAACCATGCCATAACAACAGGAGATCCGCTTCCAAAAGAGAATGCCCATGAAGTACAGTAGAATCATGGAAAACTAGCAAACATAAAACATTATCAAGTTTGGGGTGCAATCTTAAGTGCATGTGACTTCCGCGAAGCTAATTGCCGAGTCAACGTTCATTTCAACACACGCCAACTTCAGCCGACCACGATTGGAAACTCTCTACTGCGATGAACGCTGTAGTTTAAAACGTGAGCCAAAAGTTTATCTGGATGTAAATTGAGAAGATCAAATTGGATACAATCGGTCAACTCCAGTTGGCAAACAAGGAGGGGCTTTCAAATTTGCTCCCCAGAGATGGAGATCTCCCACTGATTCAAGATCAGCGTCGAAGTTACATCGTACAATGAATAAAAACTTCAGCTTTAAGCATACGCACCCGCAGCTAAATTGTTTCCGTATCATTCATGAAGGTCTAGTCTAGTACCTCATCCACTTGTTCGCGTGTATGTCATAGCAGTGCACATCTGCCGTAGCTCCCGCCAACCCTGCAGAGAAGAAGTGAGATTAAGCCTGAGCATCAACAAGTCTTGAAGACAGCAGATGGATTGTTCTATTCTGGCGAGAGACAAAACACATAATTTTAGATAAGAAATGAATTCTCAAAAGACCATTCTATGTATCTGTGCTAATGGAAGACAACCCCTTAGAACGGAATATAAATGACACAGTTAATCCTCTCATAATTTATCAGACTTGGATCGTTCGAGCCTTACTGATGCCTGCGCCAGAAGATGCTGGGGGTCCAGCAGCGTGAGAATTTCCTTCCAGAGCAGTGGCACCACCAAACAGAATAAGGCGAGGTCCAATAAACCCAGGGGACCCTTCATCTCCAACAGCTGCTACTGCTGTCAAGGTGTGACCGCATCGAGGACCAGGTCCGTCCTCTTTTTTCTCGATTACTGCGCTCACAACTCTGTAGCTAGGTGCTGGCCTGGGTCCTGAAATCGACGGCGGTAGCTGTTGGTGCTGTTGTTGGTGCGGCAGCGGGCCTTGCTGTTGATCAGCTTCCCCACCCATGCCTGCATCCACTTCCATAGACCCAAACAGTCCAAATTCTCAATCTCTAACACGGTGCTGTGCATCATGTACAAACTAGCGTCTCCATAGTGCTGTTTACCTAGATTGCCTTAAGCCCGACACTGAAATTTTGTGTATCCTGCTTCCAGTGCAGGACAGAACACAATCAGCACACATTCCCCTTCTGAACTAAACACATTCCGTGAAGCCATGCTCCTAAACTCCACTACGATTCGAGGTTCTGCCCGGATGACATCTTTGAAATGCTCTCGTATTCATCTCTCCTCTGATGGGGAATACGATTCGGAGGACAAACCATCCACCATCTAAACTAAACTACACGGGGCAGTACGTGCAGTATATATGATGAACCGAGAATGGCGGCCCTCATTGCCTCATCTGTCTGGGTGCGATACTTCAACTAGAGCTTTTGTGACATCACGTATTTCTCACACTTCTCTCACTAAGTAACTGAAGCTGGTATTTCTGAACAATCTATGTCAGCGTCGCTTTTCCTTATAGCTCCCTGTCCCTTTCGATATCTCCGAACAATGACCACATTTGCTTCAGAACATAACCTCTCTGAGAAACTTCTTAGAACTTTCAAATCTAGAGACGCCAAAAGAAGGGCATACTTCTTAGGGTAAGTCTGTAGCAGAAAACGCATAGCTCCCCCGATATCTCTAAATGTTAGTACTTGTGTTTGCTTTTCCTCTTCAGTATGCTTTAAAAATCTGCTATGGATTGAAGCCGTTAAACCATCTCCAGCCTATGTACCGGAGGTGTCTTGTCATTTTCCCCTCAAACTTCCTACAATTATTGATTTCTTGACAAGACAAAAAACAATTAAGTCGATGATGCCAGCTGCGAGTTTTGTAAAGTCCGAAGTCCGAAGCACATGATATGACATTTAAGATCATTGTGGGTTCTTTTTTCCCACGGGGATTTGAGTAAGCAATGGAACTTGGGGTTTTCTGAACTACTATTGTAGCTCCATCGGCCTTCCACTTTTTGTTTTCTGAGTTTACTCTCATAGCCCTTCCTCTATATAAAAGAAGCGACGCATGAGACAAAGAGCAAGATTCAAGAAGACTCTTCAGATTTTAAATTATGTGGATACTGAACTCTGAACTCCCTTAGATTCAATTGTAACTCACTTCATCCTCTTGATGATTTTGCATATAACTACAGATTATCTAGTAATAGGAAACTTTAAGTGCTTTTACTTAAGTGAAAGACAGTAGCATGTTGCAACAACTTACGTACACAAGCATTTAGACTTGATAGTAAATGAGTTAGTTTCTAACTTCTTCCTTGTAGTCTATAAACATCACCAGCCAGTGTGCATCATCCACTTTCCCGTTAGATATGTGTCGAAATTGGAAACACGAATACTTTCAAATCATGTTGACTATCAATGTCCCTCGCTTCAACTCACTGTATAGATCTCGTCGCTACAATTACATATTCTCATACTCATCAGGCTCTTTGCATTATATTATCTGTCATCTGAAATGAATATAAGATTTTCATTTCAAAATAGTATTATACAACTTCCAGATCTTTGAGTATTCCCTTAAACTCCCTTACATGACCAAAACATCTACTTAAGCATGAATAAAATCTGAATGCTTGTGTTTATCAAAATTTTGTGTTTATCAAAATATCAAAAATCAATAGAAATTTTCTTGCTTAAAAAAATTTCCTTCTATATCATCCTTCAAATTTCCATGTATTCATTGCTTACATCAATTATACACTCATTTATTTGCGAAAATAAAATAAAATAAATCTCAATCATTATTTTGATAAAAAATTTCAACATAGTAATATCTATGATACAATTAAAGCTATTTTTTTAAGTTTCAAATATCCATGCACATTCTCTACTTTGTGATTCATGTAAAATCACAAATTATATTCATTAATTATCTCAGATAGAAAAAAAATAATACATATACATATTTCTCCTTTACATCAACAAAGAAGTTAAATCTAATCACATTACAAAATACCTGAAATTAAATCTAAAATTTACAATAAAAAAAATATTCAATGTAATGTATATAATACATTTCATATAATAAGATGTGATATAAAAACAAAAATAAAAATTTGGAATCATAATTTTACTTCTATCATATTACATCATGCTTATTGTAATATTTTTGAAAATTTAATACATCAATGAATATATTTTATTCATAGTTTAAATATAGTAATATGTTACAAAAACTACAAATCACTAAAAAGTGTGTCATCTTTGTCAAATGGTTTATTACAACAAAACTTAATCAAAAGATTTGGACTTTGAAAGATCCACAATAAAATCTGTGGATATGGAAGATCATGGCTTTTCTGGAACTAGAGCAAATCATTTATACATACAATGTAGATTATTGTGAACGAGATTGATATGTGATAACAAAGTTGAAGCGTGATAGTGATATAAATGATAAATGGTAAATGACAATAGGTCGAGCTCAAGAAACCCAAAGGGTCAAAAGGCTGCAAAATACAATACAAACAAAAAATCAAAAACAAGGAAAAAGATCTGAAAGATCAATCTCTAATAAGTAACAAATACATGCTTTTCAAATTCAATATGCCCACCGTCACATAACCTACAAACACGTTCACTCCTATCAATATTAAATCAACGTTCTTCCTTAACTCTAAGCCTATGAGATCCAGTTCTATGCTTGGCGATAACATGATGTAAGGACGTAGATATTTCCGTTCACAATAAACAAGCACATGATTCACATGAAGTTGATAAAAGTGCATCTAACAGACTCGCTTGCTCCAAACAATGTTGAAAAACTCCTCATATAGACGTTCGGAGAGTGCCAGAAGTAGCTGGTGCCAATTACATTCCACCTCAAAGACCAAGTTATCACATCCGCTAATCATCTCTTTGAACATGTGACATGCAAAGCTTGAAGAGGAAGACAAAAAGCATAAAGAGATATCAAATTTCTGATGTAAATGATGGTCAAGTATGAAACTTCAAGTTGTCTACCTCTAGAAATATACAACTTGTTCTCTAAAATGGAATAGCATATGAAGTTTGATTTCTTACACCCAATTCTTCTTGTAGAAATATTTCGATGGTGCAATATAATTGCCTCTGGTGGCTTCAGCACACAAAACTAGTTTAGGCCGAGTTGACTTTATATCAGCCTTCTATTATCCATTATTTCTTTCTTGACAAACAAATATATTGAAAAAAAAAGAAGAACAAGGAAGAGATTTAGGACTAAGAGTTCTAAGAAACTATTCTGTAGAGTTCAAGAGTTTGCATCCGGTTTCCCTCAACTATAGTATTTGAGTTTTGAAAGCATTGTGTGTTTTTTATATATATATATAACGTGGTCAAAAACAAATTAAGCTTTAAGTGCTTAGTGTGTTCATTGAAGTGGAGTGTGACCCCGGAGTGAAAGACGTAACATTGCAGCCGCTGAAATTGGAAAGTGATAGGAGGCGATGGAGATCAAATCGGGATTGCGATGCAATGCGATGTCCCGTGTGTGTTGTCTTGTTTTGTGTTGTGTTTTTTTTAGACTGGAGAGTTGTTGCTAGCTGTTTGCTTGTGTCTAGATACTCTCATGTCTTGCTTTCTGGTGCGCGACCGTGTAGGGATGACGCTGATTTTTAGAGTAGTTTTACTTTTGTGTGCTATCGATTGGGAGCTGGACTTGATCACCGGCTGGCCTATCTTTGTTTCTCTCACGATGAGACTAAAGTAATGACCAGTAGACCGTGAGAGTCTTCTTGCGGTGATGACAGGTTAGGTTGCCCATACGCCAAAGCTAGTAGGGCTAGGGTAGCTTAGTGAGGGCACAACGTCAGGTGTGGATTTGGCTACTTGGTGACGATTTTGCAGTGGTGCCAGTTGGAAATTAGGTGGAAGATCGGGGTTTGGTGATACACCTGGGTTTGGTGATCCACCAGGGTGAAGTATTTTTTGTTGGTTAAAAACAAGATTGACAAATATTTGAGGCCAAGATCATATACCCGGTATTAAGCAACGAATGGATCTCACCCATCGTGATAGTCCCGAATAAACTATCAGGGAATTTTGAGTTTGTAAGGACTTCAGTATGCTGAATGCAGCTATCAAGAAAGATCATCATCCGTTGCCATTTACGGATGCTATCCTAGATCATGTGGCAGGGCATGAGTGCTATAGCTTCCCATATGGATTCTCAGGGTATAACCAGGTGTCTATTCGCAAACAGGACAAGGACAATACCATGTATACTACAGTGATAACAATAAATACCAAAATGGAGCATAATGGTTTAGATTCGTTCCCACAAAGATAGTTGCAACACCAAAAGTCACACTTTGTCACGAAGTAACTATCTATTGATGAGTTTTACTTCTTAGGCCGATGTCACTCCCATAAAACATTGCTCGATTACGGCCAAAAAGCAGAGTATAATCACATTCACAACCTAATACTTTTCCAATTGACACCTGTGGGAATCGTCTTGGACTCCACACTATGATTTCAGGGGGAAACTTCCCAAATATATTCCGGGCTCACTAACCTGAATACCCTTACTCGAATTTGCTTAAATTCCAAATAGCCCCCAGCGACTCAGAACATTCAAGCTGGACAATCACAGCTCCAAATCAGGTATCTTTGACAAACCAAAGCGCATCATGCTAAGTGGCAAGACACACAAGCACACAGACACGCACAATGGATACAAATGGACAGCTAAGACAAGCTAATTGACAGAAGAGCCCTCCAAGGAAAGAGCCTTGAGCCTCTTTATTCATTCCGATCTCCTAGGAATCTCAACCGCCTGAGGTGAATTACTCTCGCGGTACCATCCAACGTAGCGGTTACAACGTCTTTTGAGCTTCCGTCGGCTCCTAACCTACGCAAAACGTTTACAATCTCTATCTCTACATTCTCTCGCGCCTCTTTCAATCCCTCAGAAAAAGAATTAACCAATTCTACTAACTGTTTGTGCCACGCGGATCCGCTGCCCTTCGCACTCATCAGACGTCGCTCCAATGAATCCAACTTCAACCACTTAACCAATTGCAATTTCCGCATTGCAAATCCATGCAAGCACTTCTCAACACACAACCGCAATGTGTCGGTCGTCTCGTCTTGCAACAAGCGGTGTGCAGCCTCTACGTCTCCTCTAGCTACAGAGCAACTCTCTTCAACTGCTCTCGTAACCGTTCGCATTCTAATTCAATCCTTAGTTTACATTTGACTTCCAAAGATCTGGCCGCTTCACGATCTGCCAATTTCTTGGCCCAATATATCAATTCGCCTTCGTGCTTCCGGAGTGCCTCCGCCAGACTTG